AATTCCACTTCTAGGAATTTACCCTAAGAATGCAGGAGCCCAGTTTGAGAAAGACATATGCACCCCTATGTTTATCGCAGCACTATTTACAATAGCCAAGAAATGGAAGCAACCTAAGTGTCCATCAGTAGATGACTGGATAAAGAAGATGTGGTACATATACACAATGGAATATTATTCAGCCATAAGAAGAAACAAATCGTACCATTTGCAATAACATGGATGGAGCTAGAGGGTATTATGCTCAGTGAAATAAGCCAGGCAGAGAAAGACAAGTACCAAATGATTTCACTCATCTGTGGAGTATAAGAACAAAGAAAAAAACTGAAGGAACAAAACAGCAGCAGAATCACAGAACCCAAGAGTGGACTAACAGTTACCAAAGGGAAAGGGACTGGGGAGGGATGCGTGGGAAGGGAGGGATAAGGGGAAAGAAAAAAGGGGCATTACTATTAGCAGACATAATGTAGAGGGGGCACAGGGAGGGCTGTACAACACAGAGAAGACAAGTAGTGATTCTATAGCATCTTACTACGCTGATGGACAGTGACTGTAATGGGATATGTGGGGGGGACTTGGTGATGGGGGGAGTCTAGTAAACATAATATTCCTTATGTAATGGTAGATTAATAATACCCCCTCCCCCTCACCAAAAAAAAGCAATTGGCATTTAGGGAGATCTGTCACAACCATAGTGTAGTACCAAAAATTTATCTTCCCTTTAGTGACAAGGTCACTGTTCTCTGCTCTGTGGCCCAGAGGAGGTTAATCTGAGAGTCAGCTGCTACCTGGAGGCTCAGATTCTCTGCTAGGCTGAGGAGGAAGTGAGGAGCATCTGCTGGGACCCCACTCCCACTCACATGTAAGCCTTGTAGTTGTTGCCTATCTTCTGGACCCGGATGTCATACTTGGCGTCGATGAAAGGCTCTGCTGTGGCGTACGTCTGGGTGAGGGCCACCACACTGGCAATGTCCTGGAAGTCGTAGTGGTTTTCCACTTTGACCTAATGTTAGAGCAAGGCAGAGAGGGAGAAAGGGAGACATACACACACACACACACACACACTAAGAGTCACTGGAGTTCTGGCCTCCAAACCCCATCAAGATGTTTCCCAGCCAGAAGCAAACCTCCTCTCCCTGGGAAGCCCCTTCTCTCCAGCTTCCCTTCCCTGGGCTCAGAAGCCACACTTTCTGCCAGGGGCCCAAGGGGCTAAGCAAGTGACTTGCACTCTGCTTGATGAAAGAGGTCTGTTTGGGTAACATTCATAGCTTCAGAGGGCCCAAATTGTCTTCTTAGAAAGAATTCATCAGTAACAGAGGCAGAAGAAAGTCTACAACCTGACTCTGAAAAGCACCCTTCTTGGCCTCAGCCCCAAAGCACAGCAGGCCTGGCCTTACCTTGCCCATGCCCGAGTGAGCGTGGCCGATCTTCACCACCACTGGGAATGTGGGCAGTGTCAGCTGAAAGCAGAGAAGAATGGAAGGAATTAGTCAGAATATGCCTGCTTCTCTGTGGAATCTTACAAATATTTTTCTTGGGAACACCCTTGGAGGGACCCTTTAAAGAGCTAGTCCAACTGTTATGAATTTAAAAACTGAGGCCGGTACCAGTAACTTGCCTAAGGCTGCAGCATGTTGTGGCAGAGCTGTAAGAACCCTGCTCTCCTACCTGGTACTCTCTACATCTTTAAAACTCATCGGTTGCACCTTCGCTGCATTAGACAAACACTGGGCAGGACTGACCCTTAGCCAAAGAGAATTTTTTTAAAAATTCACCTTTGAAAGGGTGAGTTTTACTGCATGTAAATTGTACCTTAGTAAACACCAATGAAATAGAAATGTATGTTTGGAATCTTAAATGCCCCTCTTGTCATGTACCTCTTAGTACCCTATCTCCTCCAAACATCCAGCTTCCCTGTGCTGTACCTGGCTTTTCACCCCCTTTCACACTCTGCAGTGCTCATCAACATCCCAAAACTCACCACCACATGCAGCTTAGCTTGCTGAGGCTAGGATGCTAAGGCTAAGATTACCTGAGTATGCTAAGTAGTCCTGCCCAGCTTGGCATTTGGAAGCCAACTGACAGGAGAATTCAACATGCTTATTACTTGAAAGAGATCGTTAAGAGAGTCAACTCTCCCTGAAGGTAGCTAGCAGAGCAACATAAAAACTTAAAAGAAGTACTCTCCAAGGGCAGGATTTCAAGCTGTTACACAATGGTGCTGGAGGAACTTAAGCAGTGGAGTGGAAGGGGCACCAGACTAGACAGCAGGGCACCTGCATTCTAGTCCTCTCTGCCACTAACTCTCTGCAAGTCACTTACCTTACATCTGCCAAATGAAGAGACTGGGCAGGATGCTTTTTCAGATTCCGGTCCAGTAACATATCAGACTCTCTTTTGGTCTGGGTTTTGTATGAAGTACCTACCCGGACACCAAATCTCATCTTTCTTAGGCTCAGCTTTCAATTTCCTTCTTTTCAAACATCACTACTTTATCAAGTTGAAAAGATGTCTTTTGAAGGAAATAACATTAACTCTGATGAAAAGTTGATTCCGAGGGAATCCTAAGTGTGACCGGATACTGGGAGTACCTGACCTAAGGATTTCAGGATTCCTGGCAGAGGCCAGTGGAGGCTCAGCTAAGAGCTTTAAAAGGCCTCAGGAATCATGAGGTTCAAATGTATCTTATGGACAAGAAAGTGAGACCCAGGGAGGCAAAGGTTGCAAAGCTACCCAGTCACAGAATCAGAGCCCAGCCTCCTACCTCCCAGTCCCGCACTGTATGGAAACATCCTACAGTTGTAATCCTGTGGGTCTCTTTCTATTTGGAGCCTCGGAGCACTATGCTCTGTCAGAGTGTACATGGCTCTGGTCACTCCCAAGTACATGGTATTTCTAAGCTGTCCCAACTTCTTTAACAAGACATAGCCTCTCCAGGAAGTAGGGACATGAGACAGAAATCAGCGTAGCCTAGAGACAGTCTGGAGAGGGCTTTGAAGTCCCAGGTTTGCCCTAAGTGATGGGATACCCTGTGCTTGGAGCCCCCACCAAGAGCACTGTCCTCAGCCATCTGCAGAGTCTGAGGCTCCGGGTGTAGGGAAGTGCTCCTAAAGCTGCTTTCTCTGACATCTCTCCCCATCCCCCAGACGACAGAGCCAAGACACACACACACATCCCAACTTTCTCTGTCCTATTCCATTACTGTTTGCTGTTGCTTTGGAGCCTCATAAATAGGGCATTGAAAACACTTCCTGCAGCTGAAAGAGGCCCGGAGTAGCTTGTCTCATTCCCAGTGTGCAGCTCAGCAAGGGGTCCGTCCTTTTCTGTCACTGTCTCTTTTGCCTGTTGTAATTCCGTCTGCCTCTCTCTGACTCTGCCTGTCTCTATTGTGCCTCTCCTCACTGTTTCTTCTGCCTCAATCTCTGTCCTCCCATCTTTCTGCCGTGACTCCATCCCCTCTCGCAGTGCCTTCCCTCTACCTCTATAAACTGCTTAAGCAGGGAAATAGAGGCTAGGGGTCTCTCATGGAGCTTCCCTCCTCATCTCACTGAGCCTGCCATCGGGAGGCCTCGGGTCTTGCGGGGCCTGCAGTCGCGGGTGGCCTGCAGCCAGAGGAGGGCGGAGCCCATGGGGGCGGGACTGGCCCTAGGTCCACTCATAAAGCCTGGGGCGAGGGGCACCACGCGTTCTGAAGGCGCCCTGTTAGGGCGGTTTGGTCAGACCCCACAGGTTCCGTCGGGGCTCTGCGGTGTCATGGCCCGGAGCCCCCGGACTGCGCCGAGCTGGGCGCTGTGGCTGCGGCTGCTCGCACTGCTGCGGCCGCCGGGGCTGGGCGAGGCGTGCAGCTGCGCCCCCGCGCACCCCCAGCAGCACGTCTGCCGCTCGGCGCTGGGTGAGTCCGGAGGCCCGCGAGGTCCACAGCAGGGGTGGTTGTGTGGGGTTGGTATGCAGACCCGGAGTCTGCAGGGAAAGGGAGGCGCTCCCGCTACTGCTGATGGGTCTGGCGGGCCGGCGCCATGGCAACCTTGCAAAGCCTGATAACTTGCAAGGAAGTGAAGACTGTAAGGGCCTCGATAGCGACCCCTCACCTCTGCCTACTGTAATTATGGCATGTCACTGAACAACAGGTCCTAGGAACTCTCCAGGGATTATTCTGAACTACTGGGTGGGAGAAAGGGAGAGCCAGGTGCCACGGGCACTGGACTTTCATTAAAAACATCCCTGCATATCCAAGCCTATAACTGAAGTTGCTGCCATGCCCCAACCCAACATGCATCTTTTACCCTTCCTCTTCCCGCCCCCTGTAAATACCTACCCCGCCCCCTTAAGTCCCTGGTATACTTCTATTCACCCTTCAAGGTCTTACTCAGGTACCTGCTCTCCTCTGAAGGCTTGCTGACTCCTTGGTGCTATTATAGCATCTCTAATGTCCTTGGGCTCCCACTATACTGTGCTGTTGATCTTCGTAAGTCCACTAGACTAAGAGTTCTGCAGGATGGGGGACCCTGTCTTAATCACATTTATAAGCCAAATAACTAGTGTTAGGCTAGGCACAGAGTAAGAACTTCATAAAGAGTTTTTGATTAATGTGCAAATGGAAAATTTGAACTATAGCTCTGGTTGGGCTCCATTTAAGGCCTTGCGTTACATCAGCTGATGTCTGCACACTGACTGTCTTCAAGGGCCTCCCCCTCCCTCCTCTGCCTTGACAGCCACCTCCACCCCCATGCACCCTGGGCTATGGAGAACTAGACTTTCAAAACTAGCAGGTAAGGTGTAGAGACTGTAGGACCTAATAGCCTGAGGCTGCAAAGGAGCTTCCAAGTCCCCACTCACACACATCCTCCTCCTCCTCACAACCCAGCAAGACCTTAACCCAGAAGTCCCCTTCAAAATTGTTTAGGGGCCCAGATTCCAGATAGATTGCTCCCACAGATTGCTGAAGGTTCCCTTTTTTCTGTTTCATGCAGCCATCCGGGCCAAAATCTCCAGTGAGAAGGTAGTTCCTGCTAGTGCAGACCCTGCTGACACTCAAAAAATGATCCGGTATGAAATCAAACAGATAAAGGTACATGGGGAAAGGACAGGGCGTTTATCCCCTTGGGCTGTTGGGAAGAGCGGGGCCTGTGTTCCAGGAGGACTGGTCAGGTGGCCTGCGTCACTGGTCCTAGGGTATAGACACTGAAGAAGAATGGATGGCATGTTGGCAGCAGGTCCCACAGAGCCTGAGTGACAGTGCAGAATAGGCCCTCAGTGTCTCTCTGGTCCTACAGAAACCTATGCTTGAAGCTTCTAGAGGTACCTCTCCTCTCGCTGGAATAAACCAAGGTTTCCATTTTCTTATAGAGACAGATGACCCAGCTGGACCATCTGTGTTAATCAAATCCTGAACTAGGCACACTTAATTTTTTCAGATTTAGAAATAGGAAGTTTTTCCTTTTAAGGTATAAAGTACACTTAATGACCCAATACTGCTTTTTGGTGATTGCCTTTCAGATGTTTAAAGGGTTCGAGAAAATCCAGGATGTTCAGTATATCTACACACCTTTTGATTCCTCTCTCTGTGGTGTGAAACTAGAAGCCAACAGCCAGAAGCAGTATCTCTTGACTGGTAAGTTAAAGACCAGCAAGTGGCCCTCAGAGTCTCTCTCCCCAGAAGACAGTCAGGGAAGAGCCAGGGCTGTCCTTGGGCAGCAAGCTGAGCCAGGTGGCATTTCCTTGGGCATAAAACAGTGTTGTGTTACTAAGAGACAGACTGAGTTGGGAGGGGCCTTGGCAATCTCCCTTTCAATACAGGAGCCTTCATTACAGTCATCTTGGCCACCACTACACTGTTATTTTAGGAACTGGTTGCTCTCCCAACCTAGAACAACTGGATCCATAATCAGTTTTAATTGAAAACTAAAAATTTTTGGCATCTTGGGCTAAAATCTGCCCCTCTGAAACCACCCCTTGTGAGTTCAACTCTGCTTTCTGCTCTGTGATGATCCTGCAGAGACCTGAGGATAATAGACAAGTGCACTCTAGCTCCAGATTTGCTGGCATGGTTCCCAGACCCTTCCTATCGTGGCCACCTTCTCAAGTTGGATATAGCCTGTCCCTAGCCTTCCCCTAGCACAGGACCTTGAACTGGACACAACACTACAGGTGACATTTAGATCCTGCTTACACAATGACGCTTCCCTAATTTACAACCACATGAACATCTCCTTTCTCTGAACTACAAAATAATTTAGTATTGCATTCATCCACTTATGGAGTCATTATTGTGTGGTTCTTTAACTGTTCTATCCCAACCAATTCAGTGTGGAGGAGAGGCTCAAGGATTGTGTGTGAGCAACTGCCCACCAACACACACATTATAGTTCCTGTAGCCTAGAATGGCATTAGCTTTAGACAGCCATGTCAGGTCACACTCTTGGCTCATAGTGAGCCTGTGTGCCTAACTCATACTCTAGGCCCTATTCTGGGGGAAGTCAAAGCCAGGCCCTAACAGGAAGTCTGAGTCCAACATGGTTCTGTCTCCATGAACTTAGGCCTCTCCTCCACACTGAATTGGTTGGGATAGAACAGTTAAAGAACCACACAATAATGACTCCATAAGTGAATGAATGCAATACTAAATTATTTTGTAGTTCAGAGAAAGGAGATGTTCATGTGGTTGTAAATTAGGGAAGCGTCATTGTGTAAGCAGGATCTAAATTTGCCCTACAAGTTGAAAAATATTTAGAAAATAGGCAGGGAAAAGAAAAGCAGAGCAGGTGGGACAAACAGGAGGAGGAATTCCACGATCTGCCCCTCAGGTTTATCAGTGAATGACCATCTACTGCCTGCCAGGGCTTGGGCAGGAGAATGGAGACTCAGTAACAAGTCACAGTCCTCAAAGAGCTCACAGTCTAGACTTGGCTCCTGAGAAGTCATAGGCATTGGTGGCCTTGAGGGTAGGGGCTCCCCAGCTCTAAGGATATGGGATGATTCTGATCTAGGAGCCTCTGGTGGGAGAAGCAGAGGCAGGGCATGCCACTGAGCCCTCCAGGTTCCAGGAACAGCAGGCAAGGCCACATCCTTTGTAAGCACCTACCGTCTGCATGCCCAGCTCTCTGCTGGGAACAACAGTGCTTCAGGAAGCAGGAGCTGGGCTCTCTGCCCTCAAGGAGGTCAAGTATGACTGAAGGTAAGGATAACTGACGAAACATGGGTGTACCAAAAAGTCACTGGGGGCACCATGCTCTCAGGAGAAGGCGCAAACTCTTTTACTTAACGTTAGTTAAAAGCCCTTTGCAACCAGAACACTGCCGATCACTCCAGCTTTGGCTCATGCTGCTTGTCAGGGATAGTTCCTCGCTCCTTGTCTTCCCCAACAGCTACTTGCAGTTGCAGGGCTGCACTCTGCTGAGCTGCACCCCTCCACCTTTGCAAAGCAAAGTCCTCGCTTCAACTTGTCTGACAGGTGAACTTCTACCTATTCCTTCAAGGCCCGATGTAAGCCCCATCTCCTCCTCCTCCTGGCCCTCACCCCTGCCACAGACAGAGATTACTGGGCTTTCCTTTGTTCTGAAACTGCATCTTTTTTTATAGTGTAATTTTTGCCTCCTGATCTGTCTGCCCTACTAGTTTTTAAGCTCCTCTGGGGCAGAGATCCTATCATATTTATTCTGTATTCCTGATACCAGGTCATAGTAGTTGCTCAGTGAGTAAGTGATTGAGCAACTGAATTTCTAAAAGAGGTGTGGGCCAGTGTGGTCACGGATGGCTTTGAGGATGAGATGGTACTGAAAGGGGTCTTTGGAAGATGGGAGAGAGCTTCATAAGAAGAGGGACTCTCCTGTGGGCAAGGGGAAAGACTCACCAAGACAGGCATCAGTGGGGCAGGAGACTGGCCTGTACAGATACTGAGAAAGGGGAAGGGGCCTATTATTTATTGAAGATCTTCTGTGGGCCTATAACTGTGCAGGGAATTTTATATACATTCTTGCATTTAATCCTGACAGAGGCCTTATTCTCATCTTCCAGCTGAGAAGTTACATGACTTTCTGAAGGTCACACAGCTAGCAACAGGTAGAAAAGAAGGGGGTTCCACCAAGAGTCTTACTTTAAAGACCATGTTCTTCTTTCTGAACCATGCCTTCAACTGTCCTTCATACAAAGTCTGTTAATATCCTTGATATAGAGATTATAAAGGTCTTTCTGGTCCCTTCATTAAGGCCCATGTCACCACTGCCACCAGAAAGCCATTGAAGAAGCTGCAATTCTGGGCTCTCCAAGGACCCAGGCTGCCGGAGCTCCATGAGCAGATGCCTCATGTTAGGTTCTCCTCCATCTCCCCCTGAAGGTCAGGTCCTCAACGACGGGAAAGTCTTCATTCATCTGTGCAACTACATTGAGCCCTGGGAGAACCTGTCCTTTTTGCAGAGAGAAAGTCTGAATCTCCACTACCATCTAAACTGTGGCTGCCAAGTAAGGAATGAATGCCCATTTCCAGGGTCTTTTGGGGGTGGGGAAGGGTCTTGAGCATTGCAGCTTCACCCTGCATATAGTCCTTTATTCATGCATGTATTTATTCACTTACTTGAGATCTGCCAGGGTCAGGCAAGATATGAAGTTGGGGATGGGAAGGCAAGATGGCCATGGGCATTGATCTCAAATTATTTACACTTTGGCTGGGAAGGTGGCCATCATATAAAGCAGACTGAGATAATATAGCTACCATTTAAAGATGGTCTACTCTTTGCCAGGCCCTGCAGTGGTCAATTTATTTAAAATATTTAAGTTAGTTTTTATAACAACTTTAGGAAGAATTAAGATTTCCATTTTAAGGTGAAGAAATTAATGCTCTGAGAAGTGAAGTAACTTGCTTAAGGTCAGTAGTAGAGTTAGGACCCTCAGGACTGTCTGACTCCAGAGATGCCATTAGAGCAGCAATACCATATGTGGGGATTACAGAGGAAGAAAAAGTTGGGGAACTCTGAAGATCTGGAAAGACCTCATTAGGCAGGGGCATTTAAGTGGGCTGTAAGGACATGTAGGAGTCTGAATGGCAATAATGGAAAAAGGACACTCCACTCACTTGATGTTGTGTGGCTATGACTCTAGATCACCACCTGCTATACAGTGCCCTGTGCCATCTCGGCCCCCAATGAGTGCCTCTGGACAGACTGGCTATTAGAACGGAAGCTATATGGGTACCAGGCCCAGCATTATGTCTGCATGAAGCATGTTGATGGCACCTGCAGCTGGTACTGGGGCCGCCTGCCACTGAAGAAGGAATTTGTTGATGTAATCCACCCCTAGCGGTTACCAGTGACCATCATATTCCTCAAGAGTCCTGAAGACCAAGCCAGCTCTTCCCCACAGAGCACTGGCCACGACTACCTGCCTCATCATGGCCAGCCAGTGGGAAATACCAAGCAGATGGTCTGGCTAGCCTTAGGGCTGGGTGGGGCATGTTACAGCCTGTTTCCAACACTCCAGCCCAGCACCTGGCAAGGGCTAAGAGAAGAAGCATGACTTTCCTATTCTGCCCTTAGCCCCTCTCTCCTGTCTCCCAAACTTTTTTAGACTAGCTGGTACCTGTTACTGAGAGTTTTTATACTGGGTTTGTTTTCCAAAGCCAGAACTATTATTCCCTTTTCTCCCCAGGAGAATGTATCTTCTTCTACCTTAACTGATCTGAGAGGGGAGAAATGGTGAATATTATGCACATGAGATGGTGTAGACTTGTGATGTACAGTACTGGAAAGCAGGCTGATGGTACCATGAACAGGCTGATTTGGAATGAAAAGAACAAGATACTGTGGCTGTGTATCCCCTACTCCTATCTTAGTTCCTCCTATGCACTTTCACCTGTTTAGGGGAGTAACCTGCATGGGCGTGGGGTCACTCAGCCTGAGATCTGCAATGGCCTAACCTCCCTCCACATGTTGTAATACCCTCTCTACCATTCCTGGCAGAGGGTCTGGCCCAGTTAGCACACCTCTTTAGGAAAGAATAGACTTGGTGTTGTCTCTCCAGCTTAACTATACTTAATGCCTTCAACTGGTGTCCATAGACTTCTGTCCTGTTTCCTTTTGAAAGCTCTTCTCTACTAGATTACTAATGTCTTCATTCATACTTAAGAACATTTTTTAAAGCCAAAAAAAGTCTTTCTCTTGTAAGGATGAAATTCCCCTTGAGCTTTTGAGACCTCAGAGAGCGATCAGGAGGTCCTCTCTTGAAGGCAAATTTCAGGATAGAGGACAGGAGAGAAGTAACACAAGGATCCTTGGGGGAAAAGGACGGCAGATGGGGAGTATACTTTGCAACTGTTGCTCTATTTTCAGTGGTCAGCCCTGCTGGATGTTATAGTGAGAAAATCCAGCTTGTTCCCCATCCTCTCTTTAGCTCAGTCTCCTCTCCACTGTGTCTTGGACTCCCTGAGAACATCCAGCACAGACTTCTTAGGGTTCCTCAGCCTCTGGAAGGTTTCCTGGCTTGCCCTAAAAGGGAAAGCCCTACTCTTGATCTCAAGAATTTATTAAGGACATGGGCTTAAAATTCCATAGCCTCTCCCTGAGGAGGCTTTGGCAAACACGAAGGAAGTAAGTACTTTTAAAGGCCTAAGGTTGTTATTCATGTTCTATGTGTGGTTTTCTGATAAGCAGGGCCATGCACAACATGCCAGAAGGTTCCTGATTCACAGAAATGGTGCAAACAGACATTCCTTTTGGAGAAGGGAGTAGGAGGGGGAACAACCATGATCTCTGTCCTAGAGTATAACACTTGGAATACTATAGCAAAGAGTCTCTCCACTGGTGAGTTAAGCAGGATCACCAACTGACCATGCAGGCTGGGGCAGAGGATGTGGGGACAGAAGGGAAGAAGGTGGTTATGCTCAAAGTCACTATGGAGGAAAATCATTAGCAATAGTCCAACCAATCATGCCATCTCTCTGCTCCTTTTGACATCCTAGGATGGCCTCAGAGAAGGCATAGTGTTAACTTAGACTTATCACAATCTAGAGGAAGCCAAGGGGATGGAAGGGCTGGTGAATAATAACAGGAGCAACACCTTACATCTGAGGGGCACTTCACACCTTTCCAGAAGGCTATTACTTAAAGAATCTCACTTAAATTTTGTAAGTACCATATTAGATTTCCTGGTCAGGAATAATTATGCCCATTTGGCTTTTGGATTAGGAGACTGACATGCAGTGAGGAAATGTAACTTGTCCAGTGACAGGTTACTGGCAGGGCCAAGACTAGAACCCAAAGCAGTAGGATCTTCTTGTTGATCCATAGGTTTCTTACTTTATCAGCTTGATAAGCTGCCCTAGTTTCAGCTCTTCCCTACTCTGTCTCCAGATTTTGGAGACAACAGGCTAGAAGCTAAAATCCAGCCCCTCTGGCCCTATAGAGCAGGTCCGTAATTCAACCTCAATGGAGTCTCTGGGGTTAAGACACTGAAGCCCTCCTCAGAGCCCCCTAGACACCATGTGGCTAAGATCAGAGTGGAAACAATACAGAGATTAAAATCCCTGCTAAATCACTTACCATCTCTTTGTGGTTGGGGTAGTATGTCTGATCAATAAGTGGGAACTTTTCTCCTCCCAATGTCTTGTAGATGGCCACCAGCTGGGCAAACTGCAAGAGAGGAACAAACATTTCAGCTTATCTAAACAATTTTGAAACAGAATTGTTCCAGACAAAACATCAGTCTATCAAATAAATATTTATTGAGTATTTTCTCTGTTAAGAGCTTTGTGCAAAGCATTCTGAGGATATAAGAGAGTGTACAATTCCTATTCTCAAGAAACCTGTGCTTCAGCTAGGGAAGGGGGAGAGAGTAAGCTAATATTCATTCAGTACCTATTCAATTTTAATGATATTGCATTCAATCCTCTTATCAAATTGATGAACTAGGTGATTACCATCTTTATTTTGCATATGACACTCAGAGAAGGAAGGAAAAGTTACCTAAAGTCACAGAGCTGCAGAGAGGTGAAGCCAGGATTGAAATTTGGGTCTCTAACTCTAAACTCTTCATCTCTACAGATGGCAAGTGGTGAAGCTGGATAAGTAAGGTGGGGCCAAGTCTTGGAAGTTCAAATGCTAGGAAAGGAATGGTAGCTTTTCCCTGTAGGCAGTATGGAGTCATTAGAGTTTGAGCAGGAGTTTCACAAATAAAGTTATTCTTCAGGAAGATTTTGGTGGTCATGGCATATGTAGGACAGACAGACCCAACCTTTCTGGGATTTAATACTCATATGAGAACTGTACTTGCTAGACCTTTCACCTGTGAGAAACTAGAACAGCTCCACGAGAAAGAGGTAAAGTACACATACCTACAGTGTCAAGGTTGAGAAAGAGGCCTTTGGCAAACATCTAGAACCCCCTGGTGCCTCCTGCCCTGACATTCTGTCAATGAAGAAACTGAGGCCCAGAGGTTACTTGCCCAAGGTCACACGGTACTTATTCCAGGGCCCTTTATTCCAAATCCATAATTCTGCCCTACTCCTTCACATAGTTGCCTTTCAGACTGCAGAGACCATGTTCTTCCCACAGGAAACACTTAGGATTTCCCTGTTCAATCCATTCACATACACACACACACCCACACAACCATCCCCAGGGCACTGCCACCATTTTCTCTTTAGTGCTACTAAGTGATTAGTTCACACTCTAAGCCACTGATATCTGGAACTGATTCAAGGAAAAGTTGCCAGATCAAACCTGCCTTCTCTTTATCAGAGAAAGGAAAGCTACAGCTTGTTTCAAAAGCTCAGGTTCTATTTTCTATAAGGGATGTTGGCACATGAGCCATTGGGGGAAAGGGGTGGTGGGGAGTAGTAAAAGCTTAGAACTAGGTTGTTAGAAAACTGGAGTCTTCTGGTTCTTGTTCTGCCTTCAACTTGCTAAGTGTCCTTGAGCAAATGATTTCTCTCCAGGCCTCATTTTCTTCATATATAAAATGAGAGGATTGGATTTGATCAGTTCCTCAAACTTTTTTACCACAAAGGAACATCTTTTCCTTTTATTTCCTCCCAGACTCTATTACCAAATTGCAATTTAAGTGATCATCTGTTGTGGTTCTTTTGTGGGGTCACAAAAGATAGAAATGCATTAAGATTTTTGAAATGCTGGAAAACACTGGAACTTCTGGATCACTTTTCTTAGTGGCACACAGTTCGTGACTCTAAGTCCCTAAAGTCTCCTCCAAGACTGAAAGTATGGACTCTCAAGCCTCTAAGACTTTATTATTGAAAGAGACTTTAGAGAGTCTCTAGATCAGCCATCTCATTTTACAAACAAGTAGACTGAGGCTAGAGAAGCAAAGAAAAACAGGCTCCCAGACCACACCTGGAGTCGGGGCTGCACCAGCACAGGCCCGGCCTCTTCTTGCCTGGTGTGTTCTCCGTTGTCACTGCTGCCCTCGCCGTTCTTTGGTTCTTCAGCTTGCTTTGACTATCAAGACCAGCCCCTCAGACCTCTCCTGCCTGCTCTGATTCTGTCCACCACCTCATATAACCTTTAAGACTTGCCTGCCCACCTCAGCCTGGACTCCTGCTCTGCCTCTGGATACCTGCCTGAGCTCCCCAGGCTCTCCAGCACCCCAGCGAGCTGATGCCAGCTCTGCGTGACAACCTCTGTCCTGCTGCAGCCCACGCCCTGGCGTGGCACCAAGGCATGTGGGGCCCTAGCTTCCCAGCAGGTGGGAGAGTTACACAGACACCACACTGATGCCAGGAAGGCCCACAGAAGACTCCCAGAGTCCTGGGACAGCCAAGACTAAAATGGCAGACAGTTCCCAAGCACTAGTTCGGTTCCTAGGAGCTCATCCCACATCTACCACCTTATCTTCAGCAGTCCCTGTATGCTCAAAATACTGGGCTCGGCATCTAACCCTGCCTCCTTGGAAAATTAGATTAAGTCACAAGCATACAGTCACCAGTTAAACAAATGTAGTATCTGATAAGGGTTATTTCCTCTATGCATAGACAGAGACTGGATTTAGGAGCTAGTGGTGGTATTGGCAATGAACAGGAAGATAATGTTCATTATAACCACTTATCCAATGAGTAAGGAAAGACTTCTTGGAAGAAATGGGATTTTAAGGTCAGTCTGCATTTAATATCTTATCTTCATCCCTCCTGGAAATACAATGTATTAATTTAACTCTTGTGCATCTGTCTCTAAAAAACCTGGAAAGAATGACAGAATTTTAAGATACATTTGCAGCAATAGGGGATGGTGGCATTCTTGCTTTATCTGGAATGGTGCTTTCAGTGATAGGTCTAATTCTGCTTCCAAAATCCCAGTGTGCCTGCCCTAACCAATTTATGAGATAGCAGATGTGCTCAAAGACACAGGGATGCAAAGTAGAGCTTCTTTCAGCCCAACTGAGGTGTCTATTCATATAAAGAGCAGTCAAAATAAAGAAATTTAGAAAAAAATGAACCAAAGTCACCATCTCAAAAGGATCCTCCCCTCACAGTCACCAAATTTGTTCATTCCTATTAAGAGAAGACAATACATAAAATGTGATTAGTGTGGCAGCTGCTTAATGAAAATGAAGGGAGAACTTGGTGTCTGTCCAGGGAACCCTGCTGTTCTCATGGAATGCCAAAAACGACGTGCTGGGATTACGAATGAGTGAGAATGTGAACCCTCACCAGACTCCGAGATCCCAGGAGGCACAAAGCTCTAGGCACAGGCTCTCTGCTCCTCCTCTCCCTGGCCTCTGGCACAGTTTTGGAACAGAAAGCAGGGAACTAGCTTCTTCAAGGGATCCCAAAGAGTAGGGGCCTATACCAACCATGCTGGCAAACTGGTGGCAGGTACTACTATTATTCCTAGTTTATAGACAAACCAGGGCACAGAGAGGGTTTTGAAGGCTGTGTCAGAAGGCTGAGACTAGTGAAATCATCCAGCAAAAAACTGGTAATAGCAGTATCACCCTGTGTGGCTAAGAGGGAGGAATTCTAACAGGTGTTGAAGGGGTGAGGAAGACAGGGCTGTGAGTTCAGGTGTGGAAAAAAAATCAGTAGCAGAGGTGATCGCTCCATTTGATTTAAAAATAAAAACAAAACAAAACACCCCCTCCAGGTCCCTGGGTGATAGAGACACTTGGGGTCTGGGAACTTCACAACCAGCCACGAGATCCATGACCCTTGGTAAGCAGGTGTGTGATGGCTGAAATGATTTTTGATGAAGAAGAAGAGGGGGATGTGACGAGGGACAGGTGTTGGCCTTTGAGAGGGCAGCTTAGAGCAACAGAGTTATAGGACGGGGGGCTCAGCTGTCAGAGGGGAGGCCTGAGCACCCCAGAACCACCACAGGTCACTCCCCCTCCTAGCCCCGCTCTTCTCTCTGCTCAAAAGTTTCACTGGCCCCCAGATTTCCAGACTGGCCAAGGAAAAGAACAACTTCTTCTCCACATGGTAATCTAATTTATGTGAGGCAGTGAAATCTACAGAAATCCTGGCTCTATAACTTTGGAAAATTACTTAATCCTATCTGGGTGTCATTTCTCTATAAAAAGTGATGATAATAATATCTTCCTTGTAAGGTTATTATGAGGATTAAATGAAGTTAATGAAGGAAAATCTCAGAAGTTGGCACCACATAGTAAGTAAGTGGCTTTATTCTACTCACTTTCCTTAATTTTTATATCTCTATCACAAAGAGGTGAGATTTAATCATCTCTAAGGACACTTCCATCTCATGTAAGTGTCTGACTGATATGTTTGTGGATAAATCTAACTTTAAGTTTGTTGAAACACTTGGTAGGACTGTCACTAACATTCCTCTGAGATGGACCATCCTGTGGCCCATCTGGCCTCTGGCCTTCCCAGTAGTTAGACCACTTGGAGGCAAGAAACAGGTATTTTTATTGCTGTACCCTATGGCTGAGGGCAGAACCTGCAGACCTGAAAGGGCTTCTTCACAGAATGTTTGTGTGACTTTGCCGTGAGTCCGAAGGTCCACTCTGCAGGACAGGCAGCTCCACCACAATGATAATGTTGCACCATGAGAGCCGACCCTGCTGCATACACCAGCATCCTCCCCACTGGTGCTTTCTGCAACTTGATCACTAGTGGTCCCTCATGGGGGCCTGGGAGACACAGGACTGGGATCCTTCCCTGTTACCTGCGGGGAAGGGGACGTCACTCACCACCCACGGCTTGTCACAGAAGTTGTAAATGGATTCCAGTGTGTTGATGCTGGGGAGGCCTGCGTACTGCATGCCAATGATCAGGTGGCGGAAGTCCTCATTCTCTGCCATGCCAAATGCATGCTGCCGGATGAGCACAAAGTCTGGCCGGAAGGACCTGGTAAGAATGTAGGGGCAAGTTTGCCATCAACTGGCATGTCAGGTCATCCATCATCTTGTCCCACATTTCCAAAGCCCAAGACAGGGGAGGAGTCTTAGGGACCACTTGGTCTAAGCTCCTCATTTTATTATCATTTTTTTATTGAGTAGGAAATGAGGTATTACGGCACTTCTCAAAGGAGATTTGGGGAATGGATTTCTGAAATTCCTTTATTCCTCTGGGTTAAGCATTGCCTTTTTCTACAAACATCCTCAGGAGGGAAGAAACATTTTAGATCCTCACACCTTAAGTGGACAAAAATTTTCTTGTCCCTACAAGGCAGTATGAGAACCAAAGCCCGTTGTGGCTCCAGAACTGGTGCCCAAGGAGTCCCAGCAGACTTTGAAGCCAACATAACTTGGCTGACTTCATCACCCTGCCATGGAGGTCCCTGATCTCGGTGTCAAGTTCTGACTCCTTAAAGCTTCTCCTTAAAATAGGCAATGCCCTCATCAGGGCCTCAAGGGAGCAAGGGACCAGGCTGGCTGCAAACAGATGCCAGACTTCCCAGTGTTATTCTTCCAAAGCGGACGCTAGGGAGGGGGTGCAGATGTTTTTCGAAGAACTGAGGTTGAGCAATGCCTACAGGAAACACTGAGAGGACAGAATGTTCCCATGCATGGGAAGGCTCCCTGCCTTTCACCTCCAGTTAGCAAAGCTATTAGCCACAGCTACTCCACCGGACCAGTGCCCCTGTCTTCATGCCCTGACTCCAGAGGAGCCCCAGGTTCCCAGAGTCAGTTCCGTGGCAGCATCCACCCTCTAGGCTCTAGGGCTTGCCAGTTTGACGCCATGTGAAATGACTTACCTGGTTCTTTGCCCAGGCACC